TGGTGGTCTTCATGGGGTCAGAGGTCATGCTGCCAGTGTTTGGATTTGCCGTGCTAGTACCGCTGGTCAAAAGTTAAATTTTTGGACTAAATGGACAATTTGGAAGTTGGACTACCCTGTCAGTGTGTGTTTGCAATAGTTGAACACTCAAGTAGGTGATTGTTGACAGCTCAGTTCTTAGATGTTTTCTATATATTCCAATAGGGGCTGGAATTAGTGGGCTGTGCCCATTACGCCGCCTGGCAGACAGACCGGCGAGATTTTCTGGACCTGAGGTTATATGTCAGCTAGGAACGACTGTGGACAAGAATGCGACTGAACATGTCCAAAGAATGCCTTCAAAGCACCCGCTTCCCAGTAACGGGGACGTTTACTAGTTTCCACCAGATAGGCTGAATAAATAGTAGAAATCGGCTTAAAAGGGGGATATCATTGGCCAGAGGAGTTGGTCGGCCAGGCAAATGGGCCATCTCTGGCCGACCATCTCCTCTGGCCAATGATACCCACTTTTAAGCCGATTTCTATTTTTTATTCAGCCTGCAAAGGAGTCTGGTGTAGACTAGACGTATATGAACATATCGCGTCAGAATCCTGAAACAAAACCTAGATCTAGATGCAGGGCAGTGCTCCCGTTATTAGCCAATGCCTTTCATCAGCCAATGCTTCCATCTATCCAACACCCAAAGTATATTTTGATTCATGCAGGTCCCTGCCTTGAATATCTATAAAGGGATTACAGAGATTTGTAGCAGAAGTGAAATTCAGTATTACACGTACGCGTGCTAATGTCTGTTATAAGTCATACACCACGAGAGCGTCACTGTACTACGCAACAAAGCTGGTGATAACATAATCTCCACTACACTAAAACAATATTGTTACTTTATTGCTTCATCACTTTGATCCAAAAATATAACAGGTGGAAAATGTACTTCAGTCTTCCTTCGAAATTCCCATTCTAGGTTAACTACTAGTGGTAAAGTCATACACCACGTGAGCCTAACTGAGCAACAAAGCCGATGATAATATAATCTCCAGTACACTAAAACAATATGTTGTTTTGTTGGTTTATCATTTTGTTCGATCCAAAAATATAATAGGTGGAAATGTATGTACTTCAGTCTTCCTTCGAAATTCCCATTGCAGGTTAACTACTAGTGATAAAGTCATACACACCATGTGAGCCTTAATGTAGCATCATGGCATGTGTAATATAATCTCCAATACACTGAAACAGCTTTCATATTTTATTGGTTTATCATTTTCCAAAAATATAACAGGTGGAAGATGTACTTCAGTCTTCCTTCGAAATTTCCATTCTAGGTTAACTACTAGTGGTAAAGTCATACACCACGTGAGCTTTGCTGTAGCAATATAGCCGGTGATAATATAATCTCCACTACCCTATAACAATATTGTTATTTTATTGGTTCGTGATTTTGATCCAGAAATATAACAGGTGGAAGATGTACTTCAGTCTTCCTTCGAAATTCCCATTCCAGGTTAACTACTAGTGATAAAGCCATACACCACGTGAGCCTAACTGAGTAACAAAGCCGATTATAATATAATCTCCAGTACACTAAAACAATATGTTGTTTTGTTGGTTTATCATTTTGTTCGATCCAAAAATATAATAGGTGGAAATGTATGTACTTCAGTCTTCCTTCGAAATTACCATTCTAGGTTAACTACTAGTGATAATGTCATACACCACGTGAGCCTCACTGTACTACGCAACATAGCCAGAGATAATATAATCTCCACTACACTAAAACAATATTGTTATTTTATTGGTTCATCACTTTTATCCAAAAATATAACAGGTAGAAAATGTATTTGAGTCTTCCTTTGAAATTCCCATTCCAGGTTAACTACTAGTGATAAAGTCATACACCACGTGAGCCTCACTGTATAGCAACATAGCCGTTGTCAATATAATCATACACTAAAACAATATTGTTGGTTTATTGCTTCATCACTTTTATCCAAAAATATAACAGGTGGAAAATGTGTTGCAGTCTTCCTTTGAAATTACCATTCTAGGTTAACTACTAGTGATAATGTCATACACCACGTGGGCCTCACTGTACTACGCAACAAAGCCGGTGATAATACAATCTTCACTACAATAAAACAATATTGTGTTATTTTATTGGTTCATCATTTTGATCCAAAAATATAACAGGTGGAAATGTGTTTCTTCCTGTGAAATTCCCATTCCAGGTTAACTACTAGTGTCGTGATAAAACCTGCAGACGTGATGGCACATATTGATTTAGCCGTTTCCTCGGTCTATTTTAGGCATACCGGCGATGACGCACGAGATTATTGAACATCGGGGACAAATCTTTAAGAAATACCAGGAGGAAGCTAGCCTGGTTACCAGACCTATTCTAGCTCTCGAGTCCTTCAAATAGGAGTTGATTTTCGGAGAGGATGTAGGACTCGGCAGCTATAATAGGTCTGGTAACCAGGCTAGGAGTAAGCGCGAAAATAGATAAAAATCGATGAAGAAAAGTACAGGAAAGGAACAAGAAATTGACGTAAAGAACAAGAATATGGAGTATTTAGTATACTCTGTAGTTCGGAAGAAACGGTTTACGATTGGTTGCAAGGAAATAAAGACAGAAAGAGAGGTGGGTTAAGCCTGGGTGCCATCCTCCGTAGTTTTCGCCCGCTCCCTAATGTCACTGGGCCCAGCGATATTAGGGCACGGGCGAAAACTACGGAGGATGGCACCCAGGCTTGGTAAAGAGAATGCTAGCTTCAAGGACAAAAGTTGAATTTTATTGTTTATAGTCAGTTTATAGCATTTCCAATGCCCCTGCGACCCCTCCGGGTGAATAAACCCATTTACAGTCCGGAGATTCTTAGCTTCCCGTCTGGGTTAATTTCCACGGAGCTTTGTGATACCTGAAATAGACAGGGAATACATACATGCTTTATGTCGCGGTACTTTCAATGCTCGCAGCTTCCGATGTACAGGAAAGTAGAACAACCAGAATATGTAGTATTTTAGTTTACTTCTGTTTAACACTTGAAATGATTTACGATTGCTTGCTAGGAACTCGAGATAAGTGGATTAAGAGAATGTTTCGAGGACAAATGTTAGATTCTAATGCATATATTCAGTTAATAGCATTGCCAATGCTTCTTCGACCAGTACGGGTGAATAAACTCATTACAGTCCGGTGGTTCTTAGCTTCCCGTCCGGGTTAATTTCCGATGTTTACTTCCGCCTGCACCCCTCAGGGCCGGAACCGTGACGTCAGCAAGTACCGACGTGACGTCAGCACTCACAAGCCAATTCACATGTTCGACAATTGCATTGCAATCACTGAAATGTGGACACGTTCTGAGCTTCCTGAATCCTGATATTCTATTGTATTAAGAGATCTGTTTAGTGTGGGTGGTGTTGTCCTTGGTGCTGAACAACCATCCATAGTCATAGATGCTTTATGTATTACCCGGTAGTTAAACAAGCAGCAATGGGAACTATATTGCAGGTTTCTGTTTGATGTAAATGCAGTATTGTCTTTCTTTCCAAACCTTTTCTTTCTTCCTTTCTCTGTCCTTCCTTCTATCTTCCTTCCTTTCTTCTTTTCTTCACCTTTTTCTTTCTGTCTTTATTTCTCCCTCTTTCTTTTATTATCCCTCGTTCTAATCTTTCTTAAAATTGAAGTGGACTTATATTCATGTATATACAAAATTGCACTAAGTGCTCTTAGTTTGAAACACAGACGAGAACACATAGAATACACCACAACGGGTAGTAGAAAAAGACAATTGTATTTCTTCAATAAAAAGTATTAGATCAATTGTTTTAATCATTTAACATTTTGTCATAGCATTTTGTCAACAATTTCGTTACCAAAATTCTGTATAATATATTACAATGAATTATTCTATACAATATAAGAGCGGGTGACAGTTCTCCATGATTGACACTTGCCCATCACATTTCAAAATTACCATCACTTCTTTACATTGATAAATTCTCTTGTAATGTAATTTATGTAAATAAAATATAAAATAACAGCTCCTATGTAACTACATTACTTATGCATACAATACACGACTGGCCATGTGCACTATGTAAAAAAAATACGACGAATGTCCAGATTCCAACATTTACCCGTAAAACAATAAGTCATTTCACAATTCCACATGCGCATGTGCAGTGTGTGATGCATTGTGGGAGGGGAGTCAACTTTGACCTTGTACCCCACAATGCATCCCGAGTGCACACTTGCAATATGAAATGATTTATTGATCCTCTCTGTTTCTATGTCAATAAGATTACAACGCAGGGAAGGGTTGTCTTTTTGGGCTCCAAAAGTTGAGGGCAGTCTCCATGTATAGTAATTGGGGTAGGGTTCAATCCCACTTGTGACGTCACTTTCATTTGCATACAGTCTTTTTTGGCAACGCTTTACGGGCAGCACCATTTGTTTGCTAGAATTTACACCAGCTATAGTTTCAACGTGGTTTCTGAAGTTTATATCCATTGTGAACTTACATAGCGATTTGCAGCAGCTTTGGGATGTTTTTCTATGATTGTTTAAAGAAATCTATGAACCACGGAGTTTTAGGCACAAAATATTGTAGCTAGCTCAATATTGTCTTTAGCATGGACATGCAACGTTACATAAGTCATCACAGTCTGCAGGCACGATGTCTGTTGCATATATAACGTTATATTCACACAAATTACTAACAATCAAACGAATAAACGCGATGTGAGCTTTTTTATAAGTCCTTTTTGGAGACGAAGACATTTTGAAAAACGTTACGTCAATATAGTACATGTTGAACGGTCTGCAAAAAAAAAATAATATGCTGCAGCATATCATGGCCGATTTGAACAAATAAAAAATCTTCAAATAAATGGCTTTTGTCCTATTATAGAAGAAGACCGTATTTGGTCGTCTTAGTGGGTTTCTCACCACAGACACAGAGCCTTTCAATTGTTCCAGACAATGTCCACAAATAAAATGGCGGGTGGAGTTGTCCATGTACTTGATACAAGATGATCGTGGGTTGTTTGGGGGGTATTTCAACTGCCCAGTTCCATTTCTTGCCACATAGTTTCTCCGTCCTCAAGGTCTTCCATTTCCCCCATAAGATCCGCACAATCCCTAAAAAATAAAAACACAACATTTTAACGCAGATGGTATTACGTGCAGTGCTCGAGTGGGCCAAAAACATGTATCTGTTGAATCAACCAGTTCTTTTAACAACATTTTCAGTGAGTCAAGTATAAGAACATGCTACATTGAAGTCAACTCATGAATGTGCAATTTTTCTCAAGATCACTAGAGGTCTCTTCTGTACAATCTTTCAGCTACTGTGAAAACTAAATCCTAGAAAGGTACGAGGTTGAAATGTCCTCGAAAGGATCAAAAGGAAGTCATTTGTGGGAATGATCACAGTAAAATCAAGGAAATTACATGGATTTTTGTTGATCAAGACTTACCATGCTATAGTATAGGATAATCTGTGAAATTTCTGAAACTCTGGAGATTCCCACCTGATAGAAGGAAAAAAAGAAAGAGGAATCACAATCTTATCAAATTTAAGCGTATATACATATAACATTGGTATGTCGACAGTTGTACCTATATGATTTTACACGATTCGCATTAACAACATCCGTAAGTCTGTACACCAAGTTATAGACTGCAATTTTGTAATTGCCCGACAGGCGGCGTAGTTTCACCATTTTCATAAAGTCGAGTAGTAGGAATACCGTGAATGTCACTTGCAGAAGAAAAATTGCTTCTGTTCTTATGAATACTTACGATGTTTTGAATTTGGCCTTTGTTGGACTTCCCTCGTTACTACTCGTCATTTCCTGGCCGTCGATGTCTTTCAATGTTCTCGACCTCGGTTCTGTGTGTCAGAGAAACAAATACGTAAACAAGAATTCGGAGATCTCGCACCTACATGAAATATGTAGAGTTCTTGTAAATTGCTGGAAGGTTTTTAACAACCTGTCCTGCAGTTTCAGAACAAGCTGCCAGGGGCCCCAAAATGTCATTTCTACCCTAGCCCAAGAGCTATCTACCATCCAAACTGTGTGACCATAGCATGTCCAGATCATGAGATACCAAGCTGCAGTACCAACGAAAGCCGCCGGGGGGGGGATCTCATAATTTCTAGGTCTCAAGACCTACCCACGTACCAAGTACCACATAAATCTTCTTGAGTTATGCTGTTCACAGACAAACGCTACTGGAAACATAACCTTCTTGGCAAAGGTAATAATAGAAGTTTTCCATCTATGAACCTACTCTTAGGACTGCTGTCAGCGCTGGTACTGCAGCTGTTGTCTCCGTTCTCCTGCGGCCCGCCGCTCCCGTTCTGCAGCTTCTGTGACATGTGCTTCCGCGCGAAGTCCTCGCTACACTGGCACGGCGGCGGCGGGTCGTCTGGTCTTCTCTCGAAAAACGACAGCACCACGGAACTCTGTGATACCTGAAATAGACAGAGGCAGAAGTGTACACATGATTAATGTGTACTGTCCAATCCTACCATGGCAAGGCTGTAACCATTGGTCAAAGGTCATTCCTTTGGTCTTCTCTCGAAAAACGACAGCACCACGGAACTCTGTGATACCTGAAATACACAGGGAAATGTACACATACTTAATTAATATAACGCGGTACTTTTATGTACGCGGTTTTCGAGGCCGCGAACGTATGATCATTACCGTTAACAAATAATTCATCGACTTTCTTATATGTTTCCTGCATCTGTCGCCACTTCTTTGGCAAATGGCTTAGTACAGCTTAAGCCACCGTAGTATCTGATCGAAATGATGTTTTACAATTCTCTCTCTCTCTCTCTCTCTCTCTCTCTCTCTCTCTCTCTCTCTCTCTCTCTCTCTGTGTGTGTGTGTGTGTGTGTGTGTGTGTGTGTGTGTGTGCGTGCGTGCGTGTGTGTCTCGGTGCGGCGTAAAAATTGTATGTGTGCAAGCCGCCTGCATACACAGAATATTGTATGCAACTCCAAACTTTATAGATGGACTTCCCCTTGTCCTTGGCCCAGTTAACGTTATGACAGATCTGTAGTCAACTCCAGAAGATATTGAAGATTCTCCCCGGTCACAGTGAGATGATTGAAGGGGAAACGTACGCCCAGATTATTACATAGGGACCATCCATCACAAACTAGGTCAGAGTGCACACGAAGGTTCCTTACAACCAATATATCATTCTGATTCAGTACAAGACTAACTATTGCTGTGGCGGAGCTAGGGTACGAGTCTCTATATCGGGCTCTTTGGGTTGCTGACAACATAATTAAACTTCTCTGGCTATGTTTTCTCCCTATTTAGCTTATTTTTGCTATCTTATTTCCTCAGAAAAGTTTTTGCCAGAGAGTTATAAAAAAGATATACCAATTCATAAAATAAAAGAAAGAGGACCAATAAAAACGCCTAGAACATGCTAGTAATAAGCCTGTGCTTGGAGAGTACAGCTAGTACAGGTTGTCTGGCCAACTTGATGCTGTCTTTAACCAGTGCAAAAAAGAGAGCCCGGTGAATACGCATAAAATACGCTAAAAATACACCGAATCTGAGGCTCTGCTTGGAGAGTACGTCACTTTTGCACTGGTTATGTAATCTCCAAGCTGATGTTTTGGTGGCTGCAAAGACAGTATCAAATTGGCCACGTAAAAACGCCTGAAGTACGCTAGCAATAAGCCTCTGCTTGGAGAGTACAGGTCCCTTTCACACCGATTCCCTAATCTCCAAGCAGATCTTTGGTGGCTGCAAAGACACTATCAAGTTGGCCAGGCTGTATCCACCTGCCAAAATAAATACCAGTACAAAAAGAAAGCCCGCTAACGCCTAAAACACGCTAGCAAAGAGCCTCTGCTTTGAGAGTGCCGGTTGTACCACAGCGCGTTGAAACAGCCGATGACAAATCAGCTGTCCATTTGTGAGAAGGATGGAGCAATTACATCCCCGGGTCGTCTGAGTCAGGGTGGCAGCCAAACGGTAGCCTCGAACCCGGGCGGCTGCAAAGGTCGCTGCTCTTCAGCATCAGGAGGTTGAACATTGAACGTAAAGCCGGAGCCCCCGTGTTTGGGGAATAGTCACACCTTGACCACGTTAATGATCCCACATGTCCATGTGTCCATCTTATGTCTTATGTCCATCCTTCAATAAATGTGGTAAATTTGAGGCCTTGGTATGGGATGGGAATTGTGACCTATAAGCAACTCGACATAGTAGTTTACAGCACCGAGAAAAACTCAACGTGTAGCCTTGGGAGAGATTGGGAACCTGACTAGCCTGGCTTTTGTTCTTGGTGCTGAACAAGCAGCCGTGGGAACTATTTTCTGTTCTCTTCATTTTCTTTCTTTCCTTCCTTTCTTCTTTCTTTCTTTCCTTCCATTTGAGGCCTTGGGCTGGGCATGGGAATGGCGACATAGGAGCTTACAGCACCGAGAAAAACTCAACGCACAGCCCTGGGAGCGCCTGCGGGACCAGGCTACCTGCCTGATGCCCTGCCGTATAGATTTTTCATTACCCGGCGCGTTATTGCCGGAGGCGCCTGTTGAATACCGCCATTTGTAACGCTGTTTTACCGACCTGTTGGCGGGGATAAAACATGGCCGGCTGCCCGGCTCACTGACTCACGGGGAGAGAGCGAGAGTCATTGGATGGATAACTTTCACCTTCAATAGCATCCAATGCAATTTCATGCAGTTTTTGTATTAATCTATGTTTTTACCTTCGCCAAGAAGGTTATGTTTTCGGGAGCGTTCGTGTGCGTGTGTGTGTGTGTCTGTCTGTAAACACGATAACTTAAGAAGGTTTAGATGGATTGTCTTCATATTTGGTTGGTAGGTAGGAGGGTCTTGATGGGACCTGGAAATGATTAGATTTTGGCCCCCCTGGTGGCTTTTTTGTTATGCGTAGTGGTAGCGTTAATATATACGTCCTTGCTATCGCTTTGTGTTGTATTTCTGTCTTTAATGTATGAATAAAATAAATGCAATTTCAGGGTGGCAAAACTGAAACTATTCTGGATGAGGAAACCTGCTTGATATAGACATTTACTGCCATTTCTTGGCACACATTCTTAGACATTCCTATTGGCAATATTTTCACGTTGTCAACACCAGAGTGGGACGTTGGAAATTGGCCAAATGAGGAGAAAGTTTTTACTAGAGGAGTTGGTCGGCCATGCGACAGCACAAGAAAGTATAACGAAATAAAACGCGTCAAAGCAAATCATGACTATAACGTTGAATGGGTCTAAATGATCATCACATGTCACCAGGGAGGGCTGACGTGCCCCAAAAGGGACATTACAAGTCCGACTCGGGACATTAGGGGCTCTATTATTAGTCGTCCTTGGTAAAAACGGCGCATGGAGCAATCATAGCAAATCTATAACCGGCGTTAGAAGAAGACGATTAGGGAAAACTGCACCACATCATGTCTGTGGGCTTTGATATGGGGGTTTTCAAATGTGCCATCATGATGTCCAATTTATGGCGCGGTCACATTTCCCAACCCGGGGCCCAGCCGGGCAGTCGTATGGAACGAAAATTATAATATAAGACAGCAAAACACAAAAAAAGTTTTAGAAAATTAACCATGAGCACTACTTGTGTATACTCTTAATAAAAATTGTTTATTTTTCGTTCACGCAAACAACCCGGCCGGGCCCCGGCTTGGAAATGTGACCGTGCCATTAGTGCATGCCATCGCTTGTAGTAACGTGTCTCTTCATCTGACGATATTAGCGACTACTCTCTAAGGAGACGTTGATGGAGGAAGATCGTTACCGTTTTATATATGGCCCTTTTTTCTGTCGCTGCCCTCACCAACCTTGGGTCGCGCATGGTTTATCCTTGTCTCTGGCAAGTGGATACTGCTTTTTGCCACCCTAGGATCTGCTTGGAGATAAATTTGCGACACACATACATGGTAACATGGCAGTCAGACAAAGCTCCTTTTCTGTCGCAGTCCTTATGGTTGTCGAACGGTTTGGCTGACATTTCTACCGTTTAATAGCTGACAGTAATACCTAGCCTCTACCAGGCTTCGGGAATGGGCTGGAAAGAGTAGAAATTGCATGGTCAAATAGACAGAATTTCGAATCCTACCATGCCACCGGTCTTGTTCCCTTGGCACTTAACACGGCTTTCCTCACTTTAATAACTCAGGTGAAGATGGGTATTGTCCATTGTCACCTGCGTCCGTGTTAAATGTTGGAATAAGCATACTACGAGATTTCAACGACCAGGTTTTAGATAGACGAAACCACACACTTCCACTGAGGTACCTTCCCCTGTATCCTAAGAAGGCTGCGGTGCCAGACTAGCCCTCTCCGTATGGCAGTTGGGGGTAAAATTGGACCGGAGACGATTGCAATGGATCTTTGACAAGCGGAGATCGAACGGGGTCGGAGGGGTCGGCGTCAATTGCGCTAACCACTGTGGCCCATTGCTTCCCCTGTCTGCACATTCCTCACCGGGAATGCCAATATCAGACATCTTTTTAATCTCAGCCGGGCAGCTAGGTTCGGTAGTCAATCTTAAACTTGAAATGTGTGGTGCTTAGCGACCAAAGACGAATGTTTTTCGGGGCATTGGGTATCATGCAGGTCGGTCGCGTATTGAGACCTAAGCAGACCCAAGTCTGATTTTTATTTGTTGCCATTCTACAACATCAGTAATCTTTAATATCAGCTAGGTTCGACAATCTTAATCTAAAACTTGAAATGTGCGGCGTTTTGCGACCAAAGACGAATGTTTCTCGGGACATGAAATATCGGGGTGGTCGGGTATTGAGACCCAAGCAGACCTACTAGGCATATCCTTCCCTGCCATTCTGCAATATCAGCAACCGACATCTTTAAATCTCACCCGCGTTCCGTAGTCTTAATCTAAAACTTGAAATGTGTGGCGCTCCGCGACCAAAGACGAATGTTTTCCGGGACGTTAAGCACCGGGGCGGTCGCGTATTGAGACATAAATGGTTTATTCCTGCCATTCTGCAATATGTCACAGAAATATCCACATTAAGTATGGAGCTAGCTGGAAGCCGGCCAGAACAGCAGCTATGTGCCTGACAAATCTCCCAGGTCGGAGTTCAGATGAATGCCGCGGAAAACTATACTCTCCAAGCAGAGGTTTGGGTTTTGGCGTGTTTTTAGGCTTTTTTTATCAGGCTTTTTTTTGCACTGGATTTTTAACCCATTTTGGGGGCCCCTACTGTACTTGGTGGCAACGAGTTCCACTCTACGATAGTTCTAAGAAAAAATGGTAAATTGTCTTCAAGGCTACCTTTGGGCAACGATCAAGTCATCACACGATAATCGACCGGGTCATTATGCAAATATTGTTCCGGTCATTATTTGATTATTGACCGGGTCAATATTTAGATACTGGTGTACATCTGTTCGCATGTCCTCCTTTTAAACACACAATCCAGAACGTAAACAACTCTCTCAGTTCAGTCGACAACGACTTTAAAACACCTCGTATTTTTCTGGACAAGTTTGGCTTTGGCACGTTATGTATGTACATAAACACCCAGTAAGGTCGTGAAGTGGCCTGACCCAAGCTTATCTATGCCAAAACTCTCCGTCTAATCTCCAAACAGTTTCTTGGGTACTCTCCAAGCAGAGGATTGGGTTTTGGCTTATTTTGGGCGTGTGGACCTTTTTTATCGGGGTTTCTTTTTTGCACAGGAATTTTGCACGCCAACCCCGAAAAATAAGCCAAAACCCAAACCTCTGCTTGAAGAGTAGACTCTATTATCAAAGCTCCTATAGGCGTAACACTCCTATCAGATCAGCCGGTCTGTTGTACTGGGCGGGGGAAAACTAGAGCCCCGAAGACAGCCTGCCCCACCTGAATAGACTGGATACCAGGCTAATGTGATACTGTCTTGCCGCCACCCAAAGATCTGCTTGGAGATTACTCTCTGGCATTGCCGCGTGTTTACTAGTCTCCACCAGACTCCTTTGCAGGCTGAATAAATAGTAGAAATCAGCCTAAAAAGGATGTAGCTGGCCAGAAGAGTCAGCCTGCCATAGAGGGTCCAATTTGCCGGCCGTGCTACATTTTTAGACCGATTTCTACCCTTTATTGCGCCTGCAAAGGAGTCTGGTGGAGACTACATGTTTATCACGACTTCTGTGCGCTAACGTGACAGGTCTGGAGCAGCCAGTCGCCCGCCACATTCCACTCCCACGTGCGGCCCCCCACCCCTGACCCGTGCGGCACCCCACCCCTGACCCCCACCTGACCCACACGTGACCCACGGGTGACCCGTGGGTCTCCTCTGGGACAAAACGTGACCCATGGGTCCTCCTTGGGACAACCTGGGTCACGGACTGGATAACAAGCTCAAAGTCAAACATGGTGACTGTGACAGGAGTGTGCATCCTACGTTTCAAATTTATTACATCGCATTAGTAACCCATAAACTCGTTTTACACCTCAATTTGCCCCCATCGTTTTGACGGGATGTCTCAATATTTAGACCAAAACATCAACTTCAAACATCACAGAATGTCTAGCCTCTCCAAGCAGAGGGTAAGGCTTCGGCTTACTTTTTTACGTCTTCTTTAATCGTTTGGGGTTTTCATTTTTGTGCTGGTATCCTTTTATACACCAGTCAAACGGGTGGCAAGTGGCTACTGCCCTAAGCTTGCATTTTGTAGATTGAGCTCCGTGCATTTTGTAGTAATCTCCAAGCAGATTCCAGGATGGCCAAAAGACCCACGCCACGCGTATGGACCCTCTCTGGCCAATGGATACTACCTGGCCAATTTGATACTGTCTTTTGCCACCCTAGTATCTGCTTGGAGAGTGGCATTTTGCAGTGCGTCAGTGTGGGACGTGTGGCGCTACCCGTGGGCGGGCTGACGGATGGTTGAACATCAACTCATCTGTAACTTTCCGCACGGTGAGGGTTATTAACGGTAATCATCAAACACAGCAGCGGAACGGGGCGGACAGGTGGAGGAATTGTGTTGTCAACAGAGATTAAACTTTCACGGCTTCATTTCAAAGCGTCGGAGGTGTTGCTGTGGTATCAATTTTCAATCAGATGTCTTTGTGGATGCAAGGCAAAATCAAATTTGCAAGACAGTGTCAAATTGGCAGTGCAGCATTGAATTTACCTTTGCAGAAGGAAAACAAATCGTTTTTACACATTTTTTCTTCTTCTCCAAACACATACTAGGTCAATGACCTGGATCAGAGGCTGTCACCATGGTAACTGGTGCTGTAGTAGACACCCTGTGGTGTTGGATTATATTATGTAGCAAGGGGCAGAACAGAGTTGGAGGGGCTGGTCACCATATATTTATGAATGTGTTAAAAAAAACAGAGCAGTAGTTTGTTGTGCTAGACCATGTGAAGTCAAACATTAAGCATTTGCTTTGATAATGTTGCCTTTCTAGTTACTAGTGGAGTTTTCCAATGTAAAAATAAACTCACCTTCTGAGGTAACCTAATTAACTGCTGTACATATTGTTGAATCTGCGGTCTCCTACTTTCTGCTAGCTTTCTGTCGTTTCTTCTAAAGAACTGCCGGGCTGGAGGAAGAACAAAAAAACAATAGCTCGAATTAACTTCAAAAGCATACAGGGCAAACATAACCTACTTCAGCATAATACAAACAATATTGTAACTTTCAAGGCTGGTTGTAGACTAAACAGCGTTAGCGGGATCAGTAGGAAGACTAGGCCACTGAAGTCTCCACCAGTCTCCTTTTGCAGGCTGCATAGATAGTAGAAATCGGCCTAAAAGGGGATATAATTGGCCAGAGGAGTTTCCTGGCTATAGAGGTTAGGCAAACTGCTCCGTCGCTATGGCCGGAAAACTCCTGGCCAATGATGAACCCTTTTTAGGTCGATTTCTACGATCTATGCAGCCTGCAAAAGGAGACTGGTGGAGACTAAAGCCAGTTGGCGCGCGGCTCTGGTCTGTATTTATCTTATGATTAAAGGATTTTGAAGAGGAGGATCAGGGGATGAAGCACTAAGCGGCATCTGGTCATGTAGCCATTCTTCTGGAGTCTTTGATGCTGGCCTGACAGTGATACGTTTTCTGCTTTCTTGGGTTAGGTTGATTGGACTTCATCCAAGTCGTGCTTTTTTTGTAGTCCTTGATGCAGTAATTGTTTCATTGTGGAAGAGCTGAAACAGGCCATTAAGTGATTTGTGGTTCAGAGTGGTAAAAACGCACCTGGAATTCTCTCATAATATGAGAAAATAGTCCAGCATGACACGAAGTAAAACTTTAAGAGAAACAGAAAACCTAGCCTGGGTGCCATCCTATTTGTATGCCGGGGCTCCTACACTCGCTCTATTTCTTAGGTAGTGAGTATGGGAGCGTCGGCATACATATAGGATGGTACCCGGGCTACAGAAAACCGAAAAGGTAGAGTTAACTGGTTGTCAGATCATCTGTGGTGCCCCAACGGTCGAATGATTTAGACTAAGGCATTGACGATATGGGATGTACACTAACTCACTCACTCACTCACTCACTCACTCACTCACTCACTCACTCACTCATCAGCACCGCATGCTCCAGGGAGCGTAGTTGTGCCCGAACGGTCGAATAATTTCGACAAAGGCATAGATGATATGAGATGAGTACGCGAACCCAAAATAAAGCCCAGTGATTCATTCAGCATCCCCCAGCCCCAGTAAAGATCCCACGACATTCCGCTGTCTTCCCTGACTGCAATTTGATGTTCGCTCAGGGGTGACGTATATTTCAGAACGCTCTCAAGAAATCTCATTACTTCACGCACTTCCCACATCGATTTTTGGTTATGTCTACAATAATACAACCATTCAACCACCTCCTAGGATGTTCTGAGCTGGCAATGAGTATTTGGCCCTGTTCACAAGGAACCACCGTAACCGCGATTCGGGTAAATCGCATTCGTCACATCTGATCCACGTGCCACGTGTTCCTTTCAAACCGTGCCCGAACACGATTCGCCTAAACTACATTCAGTGTTGTTTGGTGACAACACGCGAGGTGGTTTGGGATAGAGGCGCTTTCAATGCGATTTGAATGAAAATGTGAATGAAAATTTTGAGAAATGAACCTTCTGAAATGGCATTTCCTGCGTTTTTTGAGAGGATTTCAAAGACAACATCGGAGATAACTTTTTATTCAATGACAAACTGAGCAGTTTTTCTACGATTCCAGCCCCGCTGGTGATACGAATCAGTCCACCTTCTAAAGAAAAATCTTGGACCCTTTGGTAAAAAGTGGACCTTTCCGCCATGTGTGTGTGTGGGGGGGGCATGGCTTCTTCCGAATCCCCCCTGGCTACAGCCACGATAAGTCACCCTGATCATTCCTTGTAAATCTTACATGGCGCTCAGATCGACCCGTCTCGCCCGGCCTGGTAGACCGGATCAGAAACAGGACAAATCGCCGGGAAAGTAACATCGCTCACCGTCAGAGCTCGGCAAACGCCACTTCGTCTTCTTTTGTGCGAGAAAGTGCAAGTAACAATTCATAGGAATAGCCTCGGTTCGCAGGCGTTGGATTGGCCACACGAAAGCTGCCCCTACCCCATTGTTCATGGTTGGTCTCTCTCTCAAAGAACCTTGACTAAAGATAAGACACATATACCCCCAAAGAAAGTAGACAAGAAGAATTTTACAGTTATGAGGCTTTTGTACACTTTTTATACCCATATTCAAAAGCAGCACAAGTTATGCACGTACTTCGCGTTCCTTGCGTAAAAGGCAATTTGACTGCCCGTTCTGAAACCGTTGGTCGATTTTTATTACCGATACGCCTTCAATTTCAACCGCAAATCTCCGTGAGAACAAAGAACCGAGTCGTTAAAGTCCGATATAAAGACGTGAAGTGACAAAGACGTGGTTCCCTGTCGTTTCAGAGATCACCAGGGTTCACCGCGAAAGAGGGGCAACTGTGTATTTGTATCTGTATAGCCGGTATAACCCTTCGGCGTAACACGCCAGCTTCGTAGGCACGCGGTGCGGCGGCAGCTGGCTGCATCACACCGAATGACTTGTTACCCTTGAACATCTAACTCTAACAATGTTTTGAATTATTTAAAGCTATCTAACGATAATACCCTAATTCCACTCTGCGATACTTCTAGTAAAAAATGTGTAAAATCCCCCGGTAAAGTTGTCGGGCCTCCCGCGACCGGTAATAGCGGACCTGTCTGATCGCCTGTAATGTTGGCAGCGCCGTAATTTCTTTCCGGTAACACGGCACTTATAACGGCGTGTGGCGGGGAGAAAAGCAGGGACGGCGTGGCGCGTGACAGGAATATCGTGTCATATCGAAAATGTAATACATTCCTGATACAATATGATATTACTATCTATTGAGTTCGATTAGTATGATTAGTATCTTTATTGTTATACATTGTATATGAAAGTAGATCAGCTGCTTTGTTAGCATCACCAACTATGTAAGTATATTTTGCCATACGTTGTACCCGTTACCTGTTGTGCTATAAAGTTCTATCTCTCTCTCCATCTCTATTTCTCTCTGTTACTTATTTCCGTTCCATTCTTTCACCCGCTCTCTCTCTCTCCCTCCTCTCTCTCTCTCTGTCTCTGTCTCTCTCTTTCTCTCACTGTGGTTCTTCTCTGTACCTTTGTTGTTCCCTTACTTTCTCTTACTGCCTCACTAACTGCCCGTATCTTTGTCATTCATTCCCACTCTCGATCCCTGAAACTCTCTTTCGTCCTGTCTTCTCATTCCCGTTTTGGTCGAATGTATTTTTGTTGGAGGATTTTCTTAACGCTATGGCAGAGACTACCGTAAGTAGTATCAAATTGGTCAGGTAGTATCCATTGGCCAGACAGGTACCATCTGGGCGGCTGATGACTCTCTCTAGATGTTCGGTTCTAACCGTAACGCTTTTGACACCAGGCGTCTGCTTGGAGACCACCAATTTCATTCCCTGAACTTTTCTATCCCGGTTACGAGCGCTTTAACGATATGAAAGCCAGGCTAGGTCTGGTAGAGATAGTCGTAATTGTTCCTGGTACTACTTATACTGTGACACAGCGGGCTGTTTTCTGTCGTCCGCGCTCTCACAGACCGCTTTCATCTGTGATCATTGGAACCGCGTGCAGTTGAAGAACCCACCGTGGCAAAGTAGAGCTAGAAACAGTTTGAAAATACCGATAACAAACACAGGTACTTTATTAATGCGCAAAGCACCCTTGTCTTTGCAGCCACTGAAAGATCCTCTTGGAGATTATGTAATAGGTCGAGGTATTGTGTTCTGCCAATTTGCGCAATGTTAAAACGTTTTCTGTGAAGGTTATAACTAGCGCACAGTTATACACTGGTCGTAAATTCTACATCCATTCAATCCATAACAACAGATCCATGTCCCATAACGCGGCCAGAGTGAGTTTATAGACCCCCATATAGCCATATCCTACCTATCCTCCAAGTAGACATTGGCAGAGGTCACAAGTTGGGCTTATTTTTGGCGTGTTTTAGACTTTTTTATGTTTTTTTTTTTTTTTT